GCTGATGGATAATGTTCTCATCAATGGCACTAATGTTTATGGAAATGACACTGATAAGAACCAGACGGGAGAGAGATTCAGATTGGACTTCGAGGAGGGCAAGACATATCGCCTACGTCTCATCAACACTGGGATTGATACTCTATATAAGTTTTCTATCGATCATCATACTCTCAAGGTCATTGCGGTGGACTTTGTATCAGTTGAGCCCTATGAGACCGACCACATCAGCCTCGCAATCGGTACTGTTCTCACAACTCCTTACCCAGTGCTTTCTTCTAACATTCTCCAGGTGAACGCATGGATATTCTTGTCACGGCAAACCAAGCTTCAAGGGCATCGTCATTTTGGCTTCGCGCTATCCCTCAACTTGACTGCACCAGAAACGTCAACCCTCAGAATGCGCTCGGTATTGTATCTTATGCATCGAACAGCACTACGCCAACGACGAAAGGACGCAAGCACGAGGATCATTGCCAAGATGAGCCTTACGAGAGCATTGTACCTGTCGTTCCTCGCAATGTTGGACCTCCCGAAATGGAAGTCATACAGAACGCCAACCGCTCCTGGAACTCAGATGGCATCATCAAATGGGCGCTTAACAGCACCACCATGATCGCAGAATGGGGTGAACCCTCCCTCCTCAAGCTCAATAACAGCGCCTCATTCACCAAGTCTAATGCTGTCATTCGTGTTCCCAAAAAGGATGTCTGGGTTTACCTTGCTATTGAGACAGAACAGGATATCTCTCATCCTATCCACCTTCACGGATTCGATTTTCAGATTCTCGCTCAAGGCCCCGGCCCATACGATTCAAATGTCACTCTCAACACAGAAAACCCGCCACGCCGTGATACTGCTCTTTTACCTGCCAAAGGACACCTTGTGATCGCATTTCTCACCGACAATCCAGGTGTGTGGCTCATGCATTGCCATATAGGTTGGCATGCTGCTGAAGGCTTCTCGCTACAATTTATTGTTCGAGAAGACGAAATTCCAAGCCTCGTGTCGGACCAGGAATACAAGGATATCGAAGAAGGTTGCAAAGCATGGAATGACTTCTCACACAAGATGAAGATGGAGCAGGACGACTCGGGTATCTGATCAACCATTATGATTTTGCCACAGTTACATAATGCAATCGAATTCATAGACCCCTATAGACCATATACGAATTACTCATGTCGCAAGACGTCAATCTGTCACTCATATTCAGTGTTTCCATGTTACACCTTCAATCCCAGCAGCCTTTGCCTATGTGGGCACTTAATTGGCCATTGTCCTGTCTAGAGATGATGCCCGTTCCCATCCCGCTAATTCTTCATACCATTTTGCCCCCGAGACTCCATTCCAGTTCGTTAAAAATAACAACAACAAGCATTAGCATCCTCATCGCTTGTAGGGGTATCTAAGCATGTTCGGACATAAACATATAATTCGTAACAATCCCATCATCGATTCCCCAATTTCAACGCCAATGTCCCATAGTATCATTATACTGATTCTCAGTCAGCAAGGTCTTCATTCATTAGAATCTCCAGGAAGGACGAGCCTGGGTGGGATTCTCCGCAACAGGGGCAGATACCCTCCTCGTCGCTGTCCCAATCGACATCGTTGATCTCGTATCCACTAGAGCGAGAAAACTGGACCCAATCCCGCTTCTCCATATCTCTAGAGACCGGCACTCGCTTCCAAATGACTGTTTCTTCGTCGCGGCTTGAAGTTGGGTGGCCCTCTTCGGTCGGGGCAGGAGGCAAAGCGCCAAGCCTGACATGGCTGTGTGAGTGTCCATGAACAGTATCCGAATCGTTTTCACTGTCTTCGTCATCATCATCCTTGGGTTTCCACGCCCGAATCACTCGGGCACACCATTTCTTGCCAGAGAGAGGTTGGAGATGCCTAGAGTGAGCCATGTAGGAAGCCGGGCCATCAAGATACAAACCTTCGTCTTTGAGCATGCCGCTCATTTCGGCAGATGCCTTCATTCCAGTATCATCAAAGGGCATGCCCGTGACTTGGAGTTCGTTCAGGGTGCAGCCAAGTTCATGAGAACAAATATCGTGAAGTTCGGATCCGGAGAAGGGAAGAAGGGTGTCGGAAAAGTTTACCAGGTCAAGGCGCAGAGACGCAAGAGATGGCAGCATTCGTGGCCGTGGCTGCTTCCTGTTTCGGTAACTCGGATCGAAGGGTGCACGAAGCCCCTCGAGAAAGTCGACAATCTGGTTCCAAGTGTAGCACCGGAAGCCACCACGAACGAGAGGAGACTCGGTTGGACGTTGCTGAACTTTCAATACGTGGTCCTTCTTTAAATCGCCATGATAACAGCGGTCCAGTTTGTGTCGGCGACAGGGCTGATCGTCATAGTATCGTGCAATGACACGAAAGGTGACATGGGTGATACCCTGACGAAACTTGACGGGAAGCTCGGCAAAGGTGCGAACAGCTTGAGGAGTTGTGAAAGTAAAGTTGTTCGACTCCCACAGGTATCGAGTACCTTCGATGTGAAGAGCTCTGCAGGTAGCCAGGAAATTAATGGCAATCTGGTTACCTCGCGTTTTCTCTTTATCAGACATGTTCTCAGGTGTGAGGGGGGATAGAGGATCGACAATTGGGAAGGGAGATTTCATAGCAAACTTCAGAATACGAAGAATGACTTCCATAGGAAGATATGGATGACCAAGCTCCTGAGCGGTCATAGAAGATCGGGTCTTGCGCTTCAAAGGATTGTCTTGATTCATGTGGTTCAGAGCAACAGAAGACCAGGAAATGCCGTTTTCGCGCAGAATACGCTTGAGTTTCAGGTTCTCTTCGGTGAGAGACTGATTTACACGGCGGAGAGGATGGTTAAAGGCAGCCTTAGCCTGGTCTTCCTTGTCCCGACATTCCCACGGGTAAGCCGTCTATAACTTGTCAGCTAACTCCAGGATGCATATCTTTGAGATACTAACCGCGGGGGTGTTTGATGTCATGGTCACGTTTGGAAAGATAGTTGACGTATGCTGATGGCTGATTGAACGAAGAACGTCGGATAAACGATCGCAAGTTCCAGTCAACGAGAGTGGACGAGTAACAACTACGTTGGTCAGAAGTGAAATGAAGATGTCCCGAGCTTAGCCAGAAACTAAGACCACAAATGGGTTGGATGGTCTTTGTACAGTCGATGGCGATGGACAAGGTAGACGAAAATGAAATGGGAAAGAAGATGAAGAATTTGAAGGGGAGGCTTGTACAGAGAACAGAATGCAGAAGTAGGTATGCTGCAATCCTGTTGCGCCGGCACTGAATTAAGGGTTTATCTTTTTTGCTGTGATGCGGTCTGGGGTAGTCAAGTGAGGTGAAGAAGAGTGGAAAAGGCACATCCGGCCCGGGAAATGCTATCCGCTTGTCTCTCGACCAGATTTGCGAATTGCAGTTGACAACAGCAAAGGCGCGATGCCTCCAGTGTCTGTTTGTGCTGGCTTGTTGATTGCAGAATGGTCTGGGATGGAGGAAGACGAGGGCTGGTGTTGCACGGGAAGTGCGTAGGGATGGAAGTCGCTGGTCGGCATGTTCTTACCTGAGGTTGCTTAAGCCAGGTGGAGTGGAGTTCCCGTCCCTAAAGTCTGCTGTTTCTTGTGTGACGTTATAGGCTCGGATTAAGGAAGGCACCACTTGCAACACAATTAATAAGGCAAGGACCGCCGGGCGAGTGCTACCCGTCGCACCTGTCTTTGCCGCTCGCCGACTGAAATTCCCCAAAAGTGGCAGCCCATGCGATCGAGATCTCCGAAGGTCCACAGAGAGAGTTTATTACTACTAAGGTAGACGGAGACAAAACATCCGGGAATCTTAAGGCAATGACAATATCTTCTGGCGTCATCAAACGTTTACCTGTCAATGGGAATTACCTAGGAAATCACTGCGACAAAGTAGTAACATCCCAATCTTTCAGTGGTGTAAACCGCTCACTCGACTGACATTAAGCTGAATGGGCTCCATAACAGGAAATGTAACTGCAGATAGAGCAAAGCTCCTATTCGAGCTTCCTATCGGAAGTCTTCAACAAACAGATAGCCTAGGTATCCTGCCTATCATTTTGAGCTGTGTAGCACAAGGGTTGCGAAGCTATTCCTTGACGAAGATCGTGCTAGGGTAGAACGATCATTATTCGACTGCAGTCGAGTTATGAATACCAAGAGACAACTTGTGTTTCATTGGCCACATTATCCCTCGCGTCCTCTCCGAAGATATCCCTAGTATTATTCAGGATCTGGCAGTGATTCAGATACAATCATGTCCAGTAAGTCAAGGGCTCACACAGGCAAGGGTTTCCTACGAATAACCAAAACCATATTCAATCCAACGCAAGCTCCCGTGAACAAGCATTGTGTATTGAGCGGAGCGGGTCTCTGCATAACGGTATTGACCAACCTGCATTGAACGGAAGATAGTACAACGGAAAGACTCGTTTCCTTTGGCTCCTCGGTACTCAGATACCTAAAGTACTAAGGTAGATCTCAGTAGCCTCGAGTTAACGATGGGTTACTTGGGCCAGGGCTGGCCATGAGGTGCTGGCTCCCATTCCAAGGAGGAGGGTGAAATAGAAGTAATAGAAGCCCAGTGTGACTGAGACATAAATATTGTGCCCAGTCCCCAAATCATACTACCGAAATCCAATGGAGTCCTTGATTGGTAGAATGACGCGAGGCTTGTTGACACAACAGCTTCATGCCTCCGTGCAGGAACCCATCATGGACGCTGACGTCACCATTATTATTGTTCGATCTCAAACACCCCGCTGCGATTGCCCTACATGTCAACTGAACATCGATGATGAAATGCATACGATTGTGCCATGATGGCTTGCATGCTACCTTATGATGTGTAAGCAATAGTTTGTTTGGAAGGAGGTATATAAATCTGCTGGAGAAGCTTCAACTTTTGTGCATGAGCTCTGATCTTATCTTCAAACATCAACATCTACAACCCAGAACACTCCCACACATACCAAACCAAGCAAGATGTCTTTCTCTAACGCAAACACTGGCGATGCCCCCGCCGATCCTTACAAGAAGGCAAACGCCGAGGAGGTTCCCCTCCAGACCAAGATTGAGGATCTCGTCCACTTCATTACCAAGGAGAAGTTTGGCATGATGACCACCCGTGGCTCAGGCTCTGGTAACCTTGTATCTCGCTGCATGGCACTGGCTGCCACAGTAAGTGTGTCTTTCATTGGGGTTGAAACTCTATCTGACCCTATTGTAGGAGACTGGAGGCATTGACCTTCTCTTCCACACCAACACGGAGTCTGGCAAGACCGACGACCTCGATGCTGACCCTCACGTCAACGTTTCTTTCATCAACGCCTCCGGAGAGTGGGCTTCCATTGCTGGCAATGCTAGTATTAGCACGGATCGAAGTCTTGTTTCCAAGCACTACAGCCCTACACTCAAGGCTTGGCTTGGTGATCTCGGTGACGGTGTCCATGATGGTTCTGAGAATGATCCTCGTATTGGAATCATCCGGGTCAAGACAGTATCGGTCACCTATTCTCTCGTTTCCAAGAACCTGCTGAGCCGCGCTGCCGACATTGCTTCCAGCGCCGTCACTGGCAAGCCTGCTTCGCCCAACACATTGAGGGAGATTTCGGAAGGGGATGTGCGATCTTGGCGCGCTTCGCGAGAGTAATGTTCTCAATAATGCAAATCTCGCTTGTACGATAGGACTTTTATCAAAGGCGATACGAATTCATGACGATATTAGCAACCATTCACAGCTGCTTTCCGTACTCAGCTTTCCATAGCCTATCCCACTTCTCCTTGTCAACCGCAAACTGCCGGACGTAGTCGAGCTCCAGCTCGTGTGTTCTTCGGCCAAGGAGGACGAGACTGTGAAGAGGAGGCCCTAGCTCCTCGTCCGTAGAGCAAAGCTCCTCCAAAGTACCAGCCACGAACTTCTCCGTCTTGCCTCCGACGCGAGCAGCGCCAATGGCCAGACTGTCCTTGGTATAGACACCCTCCTTACGCTCGTCTTCAATCTCTAGCATCTGTTGTGCACACTGGCCGACAGTCATGTAGCGGGGAGGCTCGTAGACTAGACGACCTCGGGCCATGTTCTCGAGGCTCTGCTCCTTGACCTTGATATCGACCAAGACTAGCGTGTGTAAACCGATTTGACGATTCTCCTTTATCCGATCGTAGAAAGATGCGGGCTTCCATGTATCAGTGAAGAAAACCATGGACACGGTTTGTCCAAAGTTGTAGAGCTGGAGACCGCATGCGCCAATCCCGGACATGATGGAGGCGTTGGGAACGGTTCGGACAGGGATTTCGAGTTCCCGGGCACGAAGAACAAGATCCGTATGAGTAGTAGCACTGTAAGGTATCAGTATACAGCTACAAGTTGGATCACTAGATCGTACCCGAAGGGATCTCCAACAACAAGGAACGCAACATCTTCATTCTGCGCATTCCGGAGGATCTCGTCGCTGTTTGACTCGACCATCTCACGGTCAGCTACAGTGATGGATCGTCCATAATACGATTCCTGGCATAATCAGCATTGGCTCTTGGTTTAGGGGATGGTTGCATGTACCAAGACAGATTGCTCGACAAGCAGAATGCTAGTATAAGCCTCCAGGTAGACCCTGGAGGCTTTCTTGACGACCTCAAGACCCTTGACAGTAATATCTGTCTCGTCAGAGAGACCAAGTCCTACGAGGTACAACATTGTGATCCTTCTACGTTTGATTATTGCAGTAGTATTTCGTGGTGAAAAATTGTCCTTGGGTCGCGACTCAAAAAAAGAGATGCCCCGCGGCGGGGTATTTTTTTTATAGCGCTAGGTTCCTAAGGTTTGCTGTGACCTCATGCCAAGTACCCCTGTCGCTCCAAAGCATTTCCCGTCTGGCCCGGGATAAATCGCACGGGCCGGGTCAGGTTTAACACCGGGACAATGTTGCGGTTTCGAAGAAGTCCAAGGCTAATAAGTATATCTTATAGACCCAACGCTAAGTTTTCATATGCGGCGCGAGCATAATGGAGATGGATTACAGCTTGTAATGCAGAAGCAAGAACCGAAATTGCATTTTAAGAGCGTGGTTTTAAGTTAGATGCTGTTTTCTTGTGAGTATCTTTTTCGGCTAGACTTGGTATAAATTCTGCCACTATGATCGCGTCCCAACTTTTATCATCCATGATCAGTCTAGAACCTATACGCTTTGCTCTTCACATACTGTTATAACCCAATGTCCGACTCCAAGAAAGGCGCCTATGGTGGCGCGCCATCAGGCGATACCGATTTTCGAAAGACCTACGATCTCGACGAATACGCTGCCAAAGCCAATGAACGCGAGGCAAAAGAGAAAGAAGAGTCCAAGGCGCGTTATGAAGCCAAGCTGGCAGGCAAGAAATACCACAAGCCTCTAACGGGCGACGAAACATACACATCAGCACGCCGGAATGTCATAGATCTCACACAACAAATCGGAAAAACGCAGCTTGTCCCCGGAGGTGCAGGTGTCGGAAAGCGTGGCCGTGGAGCTGGTTTCTACTGTGAGCCTTGCGATCTCACGTTCAAAGACAACAAGCAATACATTGAGCATCTCAACACACCACAGCACTTGATAAATACGGGACAAACGACTGAAGTCAAGCGCGCGACGGCAGAGGAAGTCCACGAACGTATTGAGTATTACATCCGACGGCGAGACGAGCTGGAGAAGGAGAAGCAGACTAGCCTACACGAACGACTACAGTTGCGGGAAGAAGAGGCCGAGAAAGAAGCCGAAGAGCGGAGGAAGAAGAGAAGAGAGGATAATGAAAGGAAGAGGATCAAGAAGGAGGAGGAGGCAAGGGTGAAGATGGAATATGGAGAGGACCTTCGTGTTGATGGTGAACATGACGAAGACGATATGATGGCAGCAATGGGCTTTACTGGATTTGGGACGTCGAAGAAGTGATGGATATCTAGGTTGTTCAATGATACCCCGCGTTCAACATGGTTTTTATATGAAAAGTTCAGTCGGCGTACAACAGTCAAGAATGAAACAGATGGTTGGAGATATCGCAACAATACAGAGGTCGGTGTGGGTGAAGTCAACACTATAAATTAAAAGTGAAAGCAATATGAAACAGCATGCATATTCTAAGCGCCACTCATTCCTTCCATGACTCAATAGATGCAAACCATAGCATCCAATGTTGCGAAATGAGCGCCGCATTATTCCACTACCGTCCTTACTTTGCCTTAGGCTATCGAATGAATCCATACTACGTTCATGGGATCCGTGAGGCGGGGCCGTTTTCCAGCTAGAGCCCAACGACTCCCCCACCATCCGCCTCTACCAGGATATCCTATGAGGTAAAGTACCTACCTAGTAATGGACCACGCATCTGCGGACTGATCTTGCATATACATATACGACCTCACCAGCTTCTGCTGGCGCCGTCCAATCCTTCTCTCAAGTACCAACCAAGCTAGAACCCGCATCAGCGCTTCGTCCACAAAGACATCATGGCCGCTAGTTCTGCTCCAGCAGCTTCGTTGCTGAAGCGACAACTCAAAGAGATGCAGGCTGGCAAGGATATTCCAGGCATCTCATGCGGCCTCGTAAACGATAACAACATCTTTGAGTGGGAGGTGATGCTCATGATTAGCGACGACTGCAAATACTACGGCGGTACGGCCAGAGCCTAACCTCGCTCCCCCCTCATGGCCTTGGACATACGCTGACCTCGACTTCTAGGAGGCAACTTCCGGGCTCGTCTATCCTTTCCGTCGAGTTACCCTCACATGCCACCTTCACTCACATTTCAAGACCCAATTCCTTTCCACCCGAATATCTACGAAAACGGCAAGCTCTGCATTTCCATCCTCCATCCTCCCGAGGAAGACGAATATGGCTACGAAGCAGCCTCTGAACGCTGGAGCCCTGTCCAGACACCCGAAACTATTCTTCTCAGCACCATCAGTCTTTTCCACAGCCCCAATGACGAGAGCCCTGCCAATGTGGAGGCTGCACGTATGTTCCGCGAGGAGAGGGAGGGCAAGAACAAGGATTTCCGAAGACGCTGCAGAAAGTGCGTGAGGGAGAGCCTGGGAGAGGATTAGATGCAGGACTGTTCTCTATATATGTGGCTATCATGGGAGTGCGAAGCATACGCGGGTTGGCGTTAGGTGGTTGGAACGCCTTGAGATGGTCATCAGCGTTCAAGCGGTGTCATGGAGCCTTGGGCGTATTTTAAATCATGGTTGAACCATTAGTGAAATAGTGACCCTTCCTATTGTTGCACAGGAACATTACGATGGATTTTCGTTGCTGCTTTCCTTCTCGGGTTGCAATATCTAAATGCTCTCTTCACCAACAAGCCCAATGACTTTGCCAACTACACGGTCCCATTCCTGATCCCACCTCAGAGAGCCCTCACTAACTGCACCCTTCTTCAAACGAGCCAGCTCCTCTTGTCCCGAAAAGCCCAGAAGTCTCGCGAGAATCTCCGCCAGTTCTGATGAAGTTTCGAAACCACAACCATTTTGACCTTCCTTGACAAGCTCGCTGAAGCTCTCAAAAGCCGAGTATGCTGCGACGGGGAGACCAGCACCAAACATGTCCACCACCTTCATGGGAAGATCAACGCCCGAGCTGGACTTATGCAGCGAGATACCAAGGTCTGCCGAAGCAAGAAGTGAAGCATAGTCCCTGGTGGAAAGCCACGCTGTTATGATACGAACGCCAGGTAGTTTACCACCCTCCTGGAGTGTCTTGATTTTTTCAAGATAGAGTTCTTTTTGCGGACCCTTGCCGGTAATTATAGCTAGGATGGGTGAGGCCTCGGCGGAACTGGCATAGGAGACGAGAGCATCCAGGAGCAGACCAAAGTCCTCGTCTGGCGTCCAGGAAGTGCTACTTACGATGAGCCGTACTGCTCCATCGACAATATCCTTGGCAACGTCTTTAGTCTCTGCAAGTCGAGACAAGAAGGTCAGACGTTTTGTAGTAGAGAGAATAGGTTGAAACACCTGGGCAGGTCGGTCATGAAGTGTGAGGACAGAACGTTTCAGGTTGAAAGGCCTCTCTTTGAGCTGACGGGCCATAGCATCGGTGACAGAGAGGTTGATATCTCCTAGATAGCGTCCGAAGCCGGTTTCATACCAACGATACACAGGAACCAATGGCTTAACATACCACTTCCCTTGCGCCAGAATGGTGTAGCCATAATTATGCCAGTCCACTACAAGCTTACTACCTCGTAGAAAGGAAACCAAGAGTGCAACATGAAAAGTTGGAATCGAGGGAGGGTTCTTGGGGGGGTTGTTAGCTACCTTGAAGCTGAAAGAACTGTGAGTATGATATCATATTAACTTACTTGAATGATGATCCATTTTGCAGCAGGAGCATCGTACATCAAGGTACTGAACAAACCCCAGAACTGCCATAAAACCTTGAGAGGAATGTTGAGAAAGAATGGCAATGTCCCCCATTGAAGGACCTCAGGCTGTGGTGGGAGTGCATACATAGTAACGCGAGGATTGCCGATAAGATCGGGGTGTCTTGAAGTTTCTACCCCATTGTTAGGATGTGCACATAAGTCGCGATATGCAGGTGATGGAACCATACCTTTGTAGCCCACGATATCGACATTTCGACCATGTTTGGCAACACTCAAAGCATGATATTGCATGCGAGGACTGCGCCCGACGTCGCCGACGACAAGAATCTGGATATGATCATCTTCAGGTTTCCGAGAAGGCTGATAGCGAGTAGGGATAAGGATCGCAAGACCACGTATCAGCCATACCAGGAAGACACAGCTGAGAGCGCCAGCAAAGACGGAGACAATAAAAGCGGCTGACATGTCAATAAAGGAATGAATCGGCAATCATAACATGGCGTCGAGACTAATATGAATCCTTTTGGTGGTGCCCGCAGCAACCAGCTATGGGCGTTGTTGGAGTTGAGTTGGCCAAGGCCAAGGCCACCTTGCACTCACTGGTCAAATGGATTCGAGGTTCCACAGACCAGGATGCACAGGTGCCGACGGTAAGAAAGACAAGGCAAGATGGCAAAACAAAGCGATCTCGATTGAAGCTGATCCTAGAAGACGATCAAACATAGATATCAGTAAAGAGTATATTGACGCATAAGGTAAGGGAGAGTTGATAGGGCAAAAAGGTGTCCCACTGGTGAACAATGAAGGCTTTGCGAATCATTCCACTCTCAAACTCTCAAAGGCATCACCGACTGCTCTCGTCTAACTTCAACCCAAAACAACAAAGGTAAATTTCTTATGTTGTAATAGAGGGAATATGCAGTCTATTAAGCAATACATTCGTCTCAATTAATGTGCTGATTGTCATAGCTGATGTCTCTCTGCCAAGCAAAGCAATCTACCTTGGGTGATGCAAGCAAACATCCAATGCCTTTGAGACCTGATCAATTTCCTACTATGCATCTTAGTGCTAGGTAGTCACAAAGCACCTAACCTTAGTTTTTGTTAAATACTTACCCAGAATTGTCCAGCCTATTTGCGCTCATACTTTGTGGATGGGTGTACATATAATGCAGAGCATACAGACGGGCAACGGGAGATTATCTCAAGACGAAGTTCAGGGGTTGAGATGCAACTCTGCTGCGGGGTGTGATAGCATTAGGCCTAAAAAGCGAGCTTGAGCATCAAATGCACTAACTCTTAGCGGAAAAGTAACCGCATGCAGGGGGGGAACGCCAAACTTTCCAGCGCTCAGCCAGTCAAAACTGGCCCTCCCCTAGCAATCCCCGGCCAAACGACAGGGCCATGAGGGCCAACCAACCCATGATGTATCAGAGGATCAGGAAGGAGCAAACCCAGATCAACAATCAAGTGACTTCAAAATGGTATCAAGACTTGGCGAACCCAACAGCCTTAGCAACTCTTTCACCGACTAAGATCAAATCTTCAGCAGGATCAAATGGCTCGACTCTAATCCGCCGATCGAGTCATCAACTTTTCTTTCCCTCTCTCCAGCTGTTTCCATCTTGGGTCTTGATCCTCTTGGCTCCCCGTCGATCGCTGCTCATTCGGGTTGTTACTTTTAGCTCCACGTGCTGGAGTCTCCTATCTCTAGTCCGCCACAACCACCACGGCTCATCACGCCTCCCGCGTCTACTCTAGAAAGGATTCTAGACGTCCCACGATCTCTGTTTCTCTTGCCTTTCTGTACCCGATACCGTACAGCTGCTTGCGACGCGCCCGTTTCACAAATTTAATTTTACGCTCGACTGATGACGTTGCGATTGGCCCTAGGGGAGGTGTAAGGACTCTCTTTGAAATCGCCAACACTTGCGCCGATATCCGATCACCGCCCTCATTGAGCGTCGTCCCCGTAACTTGATTCAGGGCGGAACTCTTGACTTGAGCAACCATCCCGAGTTCTATAAATTATAACATGACGTCCTCATACGTCCTTCCGACTTCCACTCTGCCGCATGCGCATCAGAACCATATGCATTCACACACGCGAAGTCATTCTCAATCGTCGTTGAACAACCTTAGACGACAATCGACTTTCTCCAACGGGAGCCTTCCATCAGTACCCGACGAAGACCATAACCACGATGTTAGCCATGATTGTGCGGATGGAAACGGAAACCATTCTGCACACTCCCACAACCCGAGTATCCACAAGCATGGACACAGACGCTCCCGCATGTCCAACACAAGCGCAACTATTGCCCGCGAGAAACTCCCTCCAGCCCCATTAAACACATTGGAGGGGTGGACAGAAGAGAGAACACCGGGAGGCAAGAGCATACTTACACCAGGTCCCGAATCGGCCAATATGACTTATTCTCCTCCGGAATTTCCCCACGACCATCATGACCACGGCCATCACGATCATTCCCACGACCATTCCCACGACCATTCGCATTCTCACAACCACTCACATAGTCATGACCATAGCAATCATTATGGGCATGATCATGGCCACCCGCATGATGATGACAAGGGCAAAAGATCATTATTCACCCGGATGATTCTGCCGTATACAACAAGATTTCCTATTTTGAATGCTATCTTGATTGAGAAGGACTCCAGGCGTATTTTTTACTTTATGGCGTAAGCGAAACCGCATGATTTATCTGGGATGCTTGGTTAATTCAAATCTCCGTCTAGGCTCAACTTTTCGTTCATGGCTGTACAGGCGTTTTATGGCTACGTCACAGACTCGCTTGGTTTACTGAGCGACAGTATCCATATGTTCTTTGATTGCGTGGCGCTCATGGTGGGCTTGTTGGCTGCTGTATTGAGCAAATGGCCGCGAAGCCAGAGATTTCCTTATGGCTTCGGCAAGATTGAGACATTGAGTGGGTTCGCCAACGGTATCTTGTTGATGTAAGTAACTTTCGGCACATCTGCAGGCCCGTTATTAACTTATTGGGTGTAGGTTACTCAGTGTCGAAATTGCCTTTGAGGCTTTTGAACGGCTGTGGGAGGGAACTCAAACAAAGCGATTAGGCGAGCTCTTTATTGTGAGCACTTTGGGTCTTCTTGTTAATCTGGTTGGAATGATGGCATTCGGTCACCATCACCACGGACACGACCATGGACACGACCACGGGCATTCTCACAGCCATGATCATGGTCATAACCATGGCCATGACCACGGCCACAGCCACGACAACGAGAACATGCACGGCATTTACTTGCATATCCTTGCCGATACCTTGGGCAGCGTGTCGGTCATCGTATCGACATTATTAACGAGCTTATGGGGATGGGCCGGATGGGATCCGTTGGCCTCATGCTTTATTGCTGTTCTGATCTTTCTTTCATCCAAGCCGCTAGTATACTCGTCAGCAAAACGGCTACTACTAAGCATCCCAGAAGATACAGAGTACAATCTTCGAAACAGCTTAGGCGGTATCCTGAACCAACGAGGAGTAGTAGGCTATTCGTCGCCAAAGTTTTGGAGGGATGATCACAGCGCTAGCCCTAGTGGTGGGAAGTTATTAGGCGTTGTTCACGTCGTGGCAGCAAGAGGAGCTCCGTTGGAAGACGTCCGAGATCGAGTTCGCGATTATCTCTTGAGAGAAGGGGCAGACGTTGTGGTGCAAGTTGAACGAGAAGGAGACAACAGCTGTTGGTGCAGTAGACGAGGAATCCCAGCTCCACCAGCAACGCCCACATTGACATCAGCGAAGGCATTCTAGAAGTCGAGTTTTAAGTTGGGATGAATAGTATGAAGGAGGTGGGAGTGTACAGTGAAGGGGAGAAGCATTGTCGCGAGACGAAGTGTAAGACTTGCTTGTATCAAAGAGGGACAGATGATTGTCGATTTATTTGCTGAAGGATATTGCGTTGGAATAACGGTAGCCGCCAAAGAAAAGAGACTGGTAAATGGGTCAATACCGTTGCCAGTTGGGTTGTCTTGGTGTTCTCAGGCTATGAATGCCTGGAGTTGGCCAACAAGGTCATTCATGGGGCACGTGGTGGATCACATGTATCATTATAATAGTTTTACTTGGATTTTCATCATGGAGACAGAGACTTTAGAGTAGAGGGGTAAGACAGGTGTATATCCAGCAATAGAGCAGGCTTCAATCACTATTCACATCTTGCTTGCTATATCTGTAGCTCGTGATCAGGCTATAATACCAGTAAAGGTATCTATGTAGGTATATCTGAGACAAAATTGCGGTTTGCAACTTTGCATGTGATAGTCAGATGCAGGAGATGGGGACTGTGGGGCTCTTCTCCAACTGAAGGAGCCTAATCTGACCTGAAGATCTGGTGTATGACCTCACTTGACCTTTTGAGCCCTAGATGCAGAGCCCCTAATCCCGACTCAATTCCGTCTGCCCGGGCTGTTGTAGCAGTGTAACCACATGCTCTGCAGTCAGCGCACTGCATTGCATGGTAACTGACATCAGCTTCCCAGAGCAATGAATGATATGCCGGCCTCTGGTACCCCACGAAACTCGGTCCTTTTCCATGTGGGGAAGACAGAGACTCATGATGCACCCCGCGAGCCGAAGCCGAGGCAACAAAAAACGAACAGAGCCGGGACCGGGGCTCGGGGATCGCGGGTGAGTGAGAGATCATTGCCCCGGAAGACCGAGTGGGAGTTGGAGAATTAGATTTACTAGCTTTGTTACTACCCATGAATTTTTTTTCGTTTTGATAATTACTATTTATCTCGCTGTGAAATGGATAATAATCAAGCAAAGGGATGCACTGAGACGTGAAGAAGCTCCATAGCAGAACCTCAGTCAAGCTCGTACCAATCGAATAGCAGCTTAGAAAATACGCCTGTGACGTGCCCGATCAGATCTTGGTTAATAACATACTCTCACCTCTCACTACTTCCCCCCTCTCTTTGTTTACACCTTTTCTTTCTTGTTTTATATCCCCATAGCTCTCTACTTGACTTGCATCATAAGCTCTTGGTTACAAGCTACACCCTCCCCTCGGCCGAGACCACCCCACACTCTTATTATCCCACTCCCGTCCTCCACATTCCATATTCCGAGGTTCATTTTGTCAAAATCCAACATAAACCCTTCCTTCACCTCACCTCTCAGAGTCTCCTCCTTCCCGGCCATCCTCCCCCTCCAAACTCTTCACAATGTCCTCCGCCGATACCCCCGACTCCGCCATCGAGGCCCGTGTCGTAGACAAGCTGAAGACCATTGCGCCCACTCCTGAACCAAAAGATGACTCCAAGGCCGGCGCATCCTCTGGCCTCGCTCAGCAGCTCCGCGCCTTTGCGGCTGGTGGTTTCGGTGGTCTCTGCGCTGTCGTAGTGGGACATCCTTTCGATCTTGTCAAGGTCCGCCTTCAAACCGCTGAGAGAGGTGTTTACTCCTCTGCCATCGATGTTGTTCGCAAGAGTATTGCTCGTGATGGTCTGCGAAGAGGTCTTTACGCTGGCGTAAGCGCGCCTCTTGTCGGTGTCACACCTATGTGTACGTTGTAATCCCTTTTCAACTTCCCATGCCTTCAACTGACCTAGCTACCTAGTTGCTGTGTCCTTTTGGGGTTACGACCTCGGCAAGCAAATCGTCCGAGGTGTCAGTGAAGTCCCCGCCGAGGGTCTCACAATCGCCCAGATCTCAACCGCCGGCTTCATCTCCGCCATTCCCATGACCGCCATCACAGCACCCTTCGAGCGCATCAAGGTCATCCTCCAAGTCCAGGGTCAGAAGCAGCTTGCTCCCGGCGAGAAGCCCAAGTATAACGGAGGTGTTGACGTCGTCCGCCAGCTCTACAAGGAGGGTGGTCTCCGCAGCGTCTTCCGCGGCAGCGCTGCTACTCTCGCCCGTGACGGCCCCGGTTCTGCTGCCTACTTTGCCGCCTACGAGTACATCAAGCGAAAGATGACACCGATTGATCCCCTCACTGGAAAGCCCAGCGGTCAGCTTAGTCTCAGTGCTATCACATGCGCTGGAGCTGCCGCTGGAGTTGCCATGTGGATACCTGTCTTCCCCATCGATACGGTCAAGTCTCGTCTGCAGACCTCGGAGGGAAATATCTCCGTTGGCAGCATCGTTCGTGAGCTCTACGGAAAGGGTGGCGTCAAGGCGTTCTTCCCAGGATTTGGCCCTGCCCTTGCTCGTGCTGTGCCCGCCAACGCTGCTACTTTCCTTGGTGTCGAGCTGGCTCACCAGGCCATGAACAAGGTCTTCGGCTAGATGCCATTGCAAAGAAGTCGAAGAGGTAAAGCGATATAGGCATAGATAGGAAAAGCTTGCTTTCGGATTTTTCAGGGTTTCGACACGGGTTGTTGACCATTGGACAAGGTCACAGCGGATGGATGGCGTTGGTTGCTGGGCATGACGTGAATTGTATTTTCTCATCGGCGGTGGATGCGCATTTCAAGCAGAATTCGAGCGCTGAGCATATCATTTGTTTTAGGCACATAGATCATGAACAGTTAGATCGTGTTATTGACTTTCTGTTGTGACGGATAGATGAATCAAAACATAATTCCGCGCACCCACCAAGTGTTTTACTTAGCTCGTCACGAACAGTGGCCGAATGAAGTGGTGAAGATGAGAGTTGGTGTTCACTTTCTAAACAAAATACATTTGAGCAATCTTGTGCTCTTGAGGGCGATCGTGCCTATAATCCTGGTATCGCTATATGCTATCCCACGTACCAGAATACATTGCCGCCGTTTTCGCCGTAATAACCGTGCGCCGGATCCCAAAGTGCAAAGCAATATGCTCTTAGGCAACTCAATGAAACATGTTGTTGTTCTTGTAAATTCATCCCTTCCCTAGGTATCAATCCTAATGCTAATAGGTCCGGCGTATCATTGCTGCGCTCCATTTCGTGAGTGGATGGTATCCCGCCAGTTCGCCGATGCCATGAGTAAAAAGACAGACCTGCCTGTCGTTGATTAAGTAAGAGTAAACGACGAGCAGGAAGCAACGCGCGCTGAAATAGTATAAGGCGAAGACATAAATAACGTCCTGCTCTAGTCCTTGAGAAAAGAGGATATCTGAGTCAGCATCCTGTCAAAGGGACAAGTATAGTAGGGTATCAAAGAGAGTCGAGCGTTAAGCGCGCTCGGTAGTCGTCCAACGTCGTTTTGAAAGACTCATATCGCGGAAACGTTCGGCCTCGCCAGGAGGTCGAGGAAGACCCCACAGTCCGCCCAGACCATCTCCAAGTTGTCCAATATGAAGCTCTTCAGCGGGCTTTTCAAAATCGTGCAAGATATCCGTCTTGATTCTGATAGGGGCTGAGAGAATAGGACCTCGGGGCGTGGCCTTTGGAGTAGTCTCTCCGCTTGGTGGGAACGAGAACGAGCTGAGTGAGGTGATGGCTGCGGGCGGCAAGCTCATAGATAGCGAGTTTGTAGAGTTAAGTTCAAAGCTTGAAGAAAAAGATGATTGCGTAGATGAGTTCGAGGTAGACATGGCAGCAGAAGCTTGGGCTTCTCCCTTGTTGTCCTCCGGAATACCTTTAAAACGGCTGAAGTTAGGCAGCACAGAATCGAAGTCCTCTTTGTCGGAGGCATCATCACTACCGTCATCCATCAGTCTAAGAGACGAAGGCCCAGGTGTCCACAGGCCGAACGAGGATGTGTTAGCGCTCGGAGAGTTGCTCCTTGAGCCTGATTCGCCCGTTGCCGTGGTAAGAGCTGGTCCTCGGTTCAGTGGCCGCTGTGACCCAGAAGTTCGACGTAAAGACGATCCCACACTTGCACTGGCCGAAGCACTACGGCTGCCCATGGGAATGATAGGGTCGGAATAGACAAAAGAACCAATGAGTGGGCCGGGTCCGTCAGTACTGCTGATGCTGGGGTTGCGGCCGCGGATAGCAGCAGGGAAACCATCAGCTGAAGTTGATCGGGATGAGACTGGAGTCGAGGTTGTTGAGCGCAAATGTTCTGTACTTGCAGACATGCGAATATCGTACATCTGATGGGGAGAGACATGGGGTTCTGAGTTTGGCGCTTCATTCGCTGATGCAGCCAGGAGAGTGTCGTAGTCGGCATCTTGTTTTCGAACTGCCATCGTGATGGATGCAATTCCAACATCCATAAGAACGGGCTGATGAGTAATAGCACCGATGAGAGCATTACATCCAGCTCCGTGAGATACAAGAATAACAACAGTCTCTACATCCTCGTCTTCAGAAATCGAGGGGTCATGTGTGTCATTCTGTGAAGTTCCGGCAGCCTGCGTTACCATCTCATCAGGCGCATCAGTCGTAGCGTACCAGTCCACCATCTTCTTTAGACCGCGTCGAAATCTCTTGTGCATGTCTGTCCACTCTTCTCCAAGCTGGCCGCCATCCCCAAAATCCAGTGGAGCTCTCATGGAATCCCATTGGTAATCTACCACAACGCACTCGTCACGCGCGTGGGCCACAAATCCGTCAGGGATCTTTCCGGAACTCGAGATAGCATAGTTTGGCTTTGGGACTGTGTAGCCTTTCTTTTCCATCTGAGTTGCCAGCTGCCCAGTTAGAGCCGCAGCCATAGCCGACCCTGTTGAACCTTCCACTGCAGACCCTGATCTCAAGGGGCCAAGAGAGGGACTGGCGGCAGGAGATCCGTTCCAGAGAGAAGCATTAGAGCCTCTATGAGGCATCGGAGTGGGAGCGGGTGCAGATGTCAATGCACTGTAGTCTTCGCGTCGTAGGAGTTCGGCCTTTGCACTTCCAAGCATGAGGGCGGCACCAGGTGGTGGGGTAATCT